GACCTTAGGCGATGTTTCGTATTTTGAGGTTAAGCACTAGCCGCCAATTTCTTGTTATACGTTCAATTGGTTCTTTTGGCAAAGTGAAGATTTAATTGTAATGTGTAGCACGAACAGGACTGGGTAACAGCTGATGAGTCGTTTTTAATCTAACAGGGTTTTAATTTAATGTGAAATTATAAATTAGCTTTGTACACGATAAATTATTTGTATCGAAACTTGCCAAAGTTTAAATTCAATGTATGATGCTTTAATTTATCTAAATAATAGTATTTAAATTAACACCTTTTTTGTCATTACCTTGATCCTTTCTACCAAGTCATTTAAATAAAATATATATTTCTTTCTGAAAAATTAAATGTAGTTTAGGTAACTATACTCGTAATAACTATGGTAGGCGTTCTGTAGGTGGTATAGGTATCTATGTTTGCTACCAGTAGTGCGATCGTGGTTGCCGATAGTTTGTACTCGATGCATATTAATGCATTGTCGCAGCTATGTTCACACAGTCTGTAGTGTGCTGAAAACTATATTTTAGTTTGATCTATAATATCGAATATTATATTAAATAGTTTTTTTTTCTATAACAAGGATGTTCCTTGACCCCCCTCTAAGAAGAATAATTAGAAATGAAAAAAAAAGCAATTATTTGTTTAATACCTCAGCAAACTGGAAGATATATAATGAGTATATTATGTATACTTCATCAGAATTATTTTGCCCTTTTTTCCGAATATACTTGAGGTAGACGTAATGTATTTTTGACTTGCATTCACCTCTGTAGTTCGTTAATACACAGCTTACTTCTCTACAAGCCATATCCTCTATTTTGCTTTAACATGTTATTCCCAATAGTCAAGATCTCACTCATAGGAGAATCAGCTTAACTACATAGAATATTTATTGTTCCAATATGCATTACGGCACAATCATATAAATACAATCTCAATAAATCATTTACATGTAAAATGTTGCCAAGACGAGACCGTATGGCTCGCCAAGCTTCTAACTCTACATGCCAAAAGTCTACAAGTCCTGACTTTACCGACTCTACACCTTAGTCAAAATATACGGCTTGACCGTTTCGTTACTACAAAAATTACTGTATATACAATACAACTCTATAACTATGCAACAGAAAAATAATGAACAGTGAATAAATTTTTCACGATATGGTCTCGTCTGGTCAACATTTGTGTAAAATTGTTTTGGTGGGATTTCACTTCTATAACTATGCAACAGAAAAATAATGAACAGTGAATAAATTTTTCACGATATGGTCTCGTCATCATTTGTTTAAATTGTTTCGGTGGGATTTCACTTCTTTTTGTAAGTTGCTTATGACAGTATTATGACAAGGATATATCCGTTTTCAGACCACTAATATCAAAATTTTGCGGGTCTCATAAAAACTTCCATGACCTAGTTTAAGGGGTTGGAGAGGGGGGGTTAATTTTTAAGTTTTAGATGTTTGTTTTGTACTAATACTAGCTCACATACCAAATTTCAGCTTTCTAGGGCTTCAAGAAGTACCCTAAGAATTTTGATGATCTTCAGTGAGTCAGTGATGAAATCGGGTTATTTTAGAAATCAATAAAATCTAAAGTATAAGACCTATGCACTTGAAACTCTATATTTATGTTTAATAAGTGCACTATTGATAAGACGAAGCGCTTCGATAAAACGTAGGTACTGCGAGGGCAGTACCATGCCCCCCGATGAAATTCAAACTTATAATTAAAAATCAAAACGATTTAAAATGTTAGCTATCAATAAACTTGAAATTATTACAACCAGTTTCATTGTAAGTCGAAAATTTCAATTTTATGCAGTAGGTGCATTGAAATGTTTAAGTTTTTGCAGTTTCGATATTAGTTTTCTCACTACTTACTGACAAAGATACTTCACATTAAAGTTTTTAAAAGTCCCTCTTAACTGGAATAACAAAACAAAAGATAGTTTTCTTAATTAAAGAGCATTATAGCGTTATAGCGTAACTTTTTAATAGTCACCTTTCACATATTCGTATTGAGGGTTTTCTGTATCTGTGCATTAGTTTTTAATTACAATGTTTATTTCATTTTTTTCGTTTACATATTTATTATTAAAACTAACTATACTTAGTTCTTTGGAACATATTATACATATAATTTTGTTAAAGTGGACGGGTTCAAACAAATGTACAAAAGGACGCGCCATTAGCCTTATTATAGCTGTCAAGGGAAACGTAGTGCCCTGTATGATATATGAAACTTTCAGGACCAATTTTATCATAGGAAAGGGCACAGATAATTTAAGTTTCAACATAAATTTGAACAACCCCAAAATCCTAGTGACCATGACCATGTTTAGGTATATTAAATAGGTCGATGGTGCACTTTATACCCATCATTTATACCAACAAATTCAGTGCTCAAAAATGTTTACTAAAGGCACAAGGGCAAGTCTGGTCTGAGATGTAAAATATTATTTTTACAAATTTTATTTAAGGACTTGATATACTAGAACACTATCTAAATACTCGAAAAGGAGGAGGATAAAGGCATATAAGACTTTCTTCCATATTTTCTAGACCGTTATTTAACGGATCTCTACTGCGATCTTTTTATGGTGTAGGTGCAAAATGAAGAGAAGGTAAGTGGCTATCGCCACGCCTGGCTACATGCAGCTCCAAAAGTCAAAAGTGCATTGCCGCCCTTTTGATATTGGGCTCCGGTGACCACAATTACTCCGTGAAAAGCAAACGAAACATTTGCTTAAGACCGGTTTTCTGTGATTTTATAGAGCCAGCTCATTTGTGCGGGGGCTCTTACATGGAAAACCTTTTGTATTGTACTGTCCTTTATGTCTGGGTGTACTTTACTTATTATTAGCATCATCACCAGCCTATCGCAGTCCAATGTCAGCATAGGCTACTCCCATTGCACGCCACTTAAATCGATTTTCGGCTTCTCCATCCAGTGATATTGATTCAACACTACGAGTATTTCCAACAATAAACAGTAAAGACCAGTTACTTATTTTACTTTATCTTTAATATTTAAATATGCTTGTTATATATATATCAGTATGTTACACTCATCTTCAGGAGGTGGGGAAAGATATCCCTTTCGTAAGGAAACGAAGAATACTATACATTACATAAATTTTGAAAAAATAATGTAGTAGTAATGTAGGCGCTCTAAAATATATTGTAATGTGATTGTCTTTGTGTTCAAAGTTGTTTTAAACGATGTACTTAATCATAATTATGTGATTACCTGTTACTACTACTACTACTACTATACATCGTTAAAATAGTAGTTTTAAAGAATTTTATGTAAACTGAAGTGTAATTTTGGAAGCGTTTATGTGTTCACAAATCGGTATTTGCCTCTTAAAATGAGAATATACGAGGCATCTGGGAAATCTGCAGTGTTGTAGTAAAATAGTATAGAAGCAGTATCGTGAGGTTGTGAGATTTGTACTACAAGTTTGCTATCAACGCCTGATAAACGGCGTTTGCCTTTAGAACTAAATTTAGTATTCCGGCTTCGAGTTTTCAGGTAGAAGAATTGTTGAAGTGGAACTGTTTGTTAGATTAATAGCTGCAAACTGATACTTATTTGTCACAAATTACTGAGATTAGGTAGCTAGCTAATTACAGAACACTACAAAATATGGCCAGTGTCAACGGTTTCAAGTTGTCAAAGAAAACTACTATTGTTACAAGACAAAATCAATGTTTGAATTCAAGTGTTACTTGTCTAATTTAATTAATTATAACGAAAGAAAATAACATTCTATAAACCATTTCAGTGGACTTTGATCATTTATTTTATTAGTTCATTGTGTTAAAAGAAAAAAACAATGTATTTGTAATCAACAAGATGTTCCTTAGTATAGTCTGTTCAAGAAGTATTTGATGTACTTTTTATTTGTTAGAACAATCTGCCTTACTGTAGGTATATTATCTATGAGAAAGTTTAAGTAATAGTAAACTGTAGAATGAATAACAATCACATTTAAATATTTTACATATAATATATACATTTATACACAGATCATGCAAGTTTAGTGCATTGACGGATTTAATGCCTGAGGCACTCTCTAAAAGACCAACCAACCTTTGTGTGATGCAGAGAAAACAGTAAGGAGGTGCATTTGGTTGCAGTTAATGTTATACAAACGAAATTTAACAATGTATACTGAACACAAAATCACATATATAAACCTATAATCTACTACACCTATACATATTACACGTAAGTACATACATTACAATATATTTATATAGTAAAAAGAATATAAATACATACATACGCGCTATATTGTAGCACAAAACCCCAGTTAGAACCCCATTCAAAACCTTAACCTATAACCACAATGTATAACTCCAAAAAGCACACTCGTATCGTTAAATATTTTGAAGCTCGCAACAAATCTGGTTATGGTTGACATTCCACTAGTTGTGTTTTCAATTTTACCGCAACTGCAATGCATTTCATTTAGTGTAATAATATCCTATCTATCATGATGGGTTCATGCTACTATAATTAACTTTGATTGCGAGTAAGTGAAGAGTAATTTGTATTAAAAATTAGAAAAATAAAACACTAAATGTGTAATTTGTAACTACAGTAATAAGGTATAGTGTAAAAAAAAATCCGGACAAGTGCGAGTCGGACTCGCCTACCGAGGGTTCCGTACACATTTGTAGGTACATATTATAAATAGTTCAGGGTTCAAAGTTTTTCGGGCTTTGCCTGATATTCTATTTCCAAAAGATTTTATTTTTGAGTTTTATAAGATAAATTGCACGTCGATGAGTGATTACGTATTTTAAATAAAGACTATATTTTATGAGTTTATGATTTATTTACAATTGTATAGTTTTCAGATTTTTCCCTGTGCTTGTAGTATAAGACTTGCCGCATATAAGAATTGCCGCACTCCTACATCGACATGCATAGAAGGCGATGGGTGAGCAAGGTACTCACACCGCGAGGACCCATCGCCTTCTATGCCTCGATAAAGACTCCGTCGGCTCCTACAGCTTTCCTTGGTTGCACCTCTTCATGCTGCTTGTTTAACAGCTCGTTGAAGAATGAGCGCCAACTCTCCTTCACCGCGAGGTCCTCGCATAATAGGTCGCCCCCAAGATCTTTCACAGAGCGGCACTTGGAAATATCCTGTGCTGCTTTAATACTAGAGCGAGCCAACTTATAGATTAGCTTCTGCCCCTCAGAGGACTCCAACTTCTCATAGAGGGGTTGTAAGTGGTCACTTCTGGCTCTGGCTACTGTTCTCTTTGTGGCACGCTTTGCAGCCATGTATGATGGTCTTCGGGAGATCCAGACGATTACCACTTCTTAAAAAGGGCTTTCTTCACCCTAGTCTCCGTTTGGACTATGTTGTTCCACTGTGTTGGCCACGAATAGCCGCCTGAATCTTGTTCCAGTACTCCTGCACGGATTTGCCTTCTTGTCTCCAATGGCTGAGGCAAACTCCCAGGACCTGGCAACCGCAAAAGCGTTTCATCTCTAGAATATCGCTCTGCAGCTCCCCGGAGAGTACCACAGCCACCCCGTTCTCCTCACCAGGTGCGCCTGTAGAAACACATTTACAACGAGTACGAGTACATTGGCCAACTTTCTCCAACGCTCAGTAAAAGCTATATTCCGGATGCGGATTGGGGCTAACTTCTTTAGCCGTGCCCGCCCTGGACACGGCAGCCCTAGCCCACTTGCCACTGGAGTCGGGCGAGGCTCCTGTGCGCCATTTTTCGGCGATGCCCTATCCGTGGCATACTTTCTTTTTCTTCTTTTCATTTTTTGATTTTGGCAGAACTTTTGTAGGGAGCGACTTTCCCCCTCTGATCTTCCACCTCCGAGGGGGAAAGCGTGCGCCAGAGCCTCGTTTGTTGTTTTGCAGGTGTACGAACTGGCACGTGAGGTTCGCTTGGGCCCCAAAAGACCTTGGTAGGACCCCTGAAACCTCGATTTTGCCCTCAAAAATAATTCTTGTAATCATAATTCGTTTATCTTTAGTCCAATTTAGATTGAGCGATCAACAGACTTTAATAGTCCTCTGCTGGACATGGCCTCTCCTTAGAAAGAAGATTTGGCCTACTATACCACGCTGGCCAGACGGGTTGGTATAGGGTTTGGGGAAACGCTGGCGATGGTACTGTTTCCTCCTTGTCCTCTTGGAGGAGAGGATTATCGCCAGCGGCCAATATTCTAGCAGAAGAGGAGGCCGTTCATCGGCTCTCGGGCAAGGCCTGGTCCAGCAGGGTGGGCGTGTCTGCCGGTTGCCCTGCTGGCTCTTCGCTCTTCGGAGCATGGAGGAGGAAACCTCGGTAAAAAACCGGATGGCGGGGCCCTGTAGGGGCCACAGTTTCTCCGCTGACAGCGGTGGAGAAAGGAGGACGGGCTCGGCGTGTACTGACACTACCACCGAGCAGGCAGGGGGACGTAGTCTCCCTGTCAACCTTCGGCATATCGTAATCCCGAGAAGAGCGCTGTGGTTAAGTCTCGCGGCTCTGATCGGGGGCGAGGGTCTTGGCTTAACCGCCCGGACCGCGAGGAAGATAACCTCTCTAAAAAATTCCCCGAATCCCGTGTTCTGGTGCGTTGCCAGGGGATGCATGGCTGATGGGAAGTTCAGTCTCGAGCGCACTCCAAGCCGAGGTACCTGCGGACCCCTCGGTTGGGTTAAAAACTTACGCTTGCCCGGGTAATGGGGGATCTCTGCCCGGGTGGACCTTTAGTTCTCCCCCACTCGTGGGATTTATAATGGATAAAATTCAAAACTCAAACCAAAAGAAAACGATCGGCAATAACCAACAACAGAAGGCAAGTCTAACGGAAACGGAAAAAACGAAGGAAATAAGGAGAAGCAGAACAGTGGAGTCGATCGGTCGTCCACTGAGGGTGAGGTGGCGTCGGGAACGCCTATCTCGATGGGGCTCCCAGAGGTCAGTCTGACTCTGGTCTCTGGGAGCCGAAGAGCATCGGACCGTATTCGTTCCGGATCCGCCGTTTCGTCGGATGGCGCGGAGGCCATGGAGGCGGAACGAAGCGACAGCCGGAAACGCGGACGCTCCAGGGAAGAGGAGACCGACACGTCCGGCGAAATGATGCCACCCAAAGTGGCAAGCAGCCGCCGAGGGAGGGCACGCAAACCGGTCTCGGTCGCGATCCCGTCAGGCTCCGCGTTCTCCAACGCGGAGTCGTACAGAAGTGTACGGGTGGACGGCGAGGCCGTAGCGGAGGAGGAGATCGCGGATCTCCTGCTCAAGGTTCGGGAGCCGGTGGGGGGAAATGCCCCCCAGGCTCCCGTGTCCGTGCAGGAGAGGGCGAAAGCGGCGGTGGCCGTCATTCACAAGGTGGCCACCAAGTCCGTGAACCTTAAGGGCTCGTTTGTGAGGGCCCTTAAGGACTCCTCCTCCGCTTTGTCGGAGGTCGTGGAGGGCCTAGTGGGCGATGTGTCTCGCCTGCAGGTGGCCAACGAGAGGCTGACGGAGCGGGTGAACGAGCTGAGCGCTCAGTTCGCCCGCTTCCAGGCGAACCTCCCCGAGCGGGAAGCACCGTCCGCGTCCCAGCCTGCCCCTACCACCAACTCAGGGGCATTTGACTCCCAACTGCGTGAAATCCTCATCGCAGTTGGGAATATGCTGGACGGACGCCTGGCTGGCCTGGAGGCGAGACTGCCCCCTGCGCCGATTGTGCGCCCCCCGCTCGCGTCGGCACAGCGGCCTAAGGCCGCCGCTCCGACCGCGCTCCCCGCGGTGGGAGGCCGCGTTTCTTACGCGGCGGCGGCGTCTGCCCCTACTCCATCGGCTCCCCAAAAGCCGAGGAGGGGGGCCAAGGCACCGGCCCAGGCGCCGGCCAAGGCACCGTCCCAGGCGCCGGCCAAGGCGCAGGCCAAAGTGCCGGCCAAGACGGGGCCTAAAACGGCGCCGAGGAGCGGAGTGCCATTCCCTCCGCTCCCCACTCCGACACCCCTGCCGGGCCCCTCCGCACCTGCCCCCTCCAATGAGGGTTGGCAGGAGGCGAGGGGCTCCAAGAAGTCCCGAAAGCGGGCCAGAAGGGCTGCCCAAAAAGCAGCCCAAGCCCAGCCTTCGCCACCGGTGGCAACGGCCTCTGCAAAGAGGCCGCGGAAACTGCAGCTGCCCAAAACCGCGGCTGTAGTGGTGACCGTGTCCCCGGAGGCGGCGGACGGCGGGCTGTCCTACGCGGCCGTCTTCAAAAACGCCCGGGACAGCCTCGCCAACGAGTTTGGGACGGTGGGGGTCAGGATGCGCCTCGCCCAGACGGGAGCTCGAGTCCTCGAGTTCCCTGGGGCTGAAGGCGCAAAGACGGCGGACTCCTTCGCTGAGAGGCTGCGGGGAATATTTGCGGCCACAGATGGTGTCAGGGTCGCCAGGCCTACCAAGTGCGCGGAACTGCGCATCTCGGGCCTGGACGACTCAGTGACGGCCGAAGATGTCCGCGCTGTAATTCGGGAGAAGACGGGGTGCAGCGCGGACAACGTCAGGGTCGGCACCATCCGCCCCGGTCCAGGAGGGCTTGGCGCCGTGTGGGTCAGCTGTCCCGTAGCGTCGGCCAAAGTATTGGCCGACGCCGGCAGGCTGCTCATCGGTTTCGTGAGCGCCAGGATCACAGTCCTGGCGGCGAGACCGATGAGGTGTTTTAAATGCCTGGCCACGGGACACACGCGCGTCAAGTGCGACAGTTGTTTTGACTGCGGCGGACTGTGTTTCCGCTGCGGTCAACCGGGGCATAAGGCGGCAGAATGCTCTGCCGCCCCTCACTGCCCAGCGTGTGCGGCGGGCAATAAGCCCGCCAATCACCAGATGGGGCAGAGAGGCTGCAAGCCTCCCCGCAGTTCTCGGCAGACGTCAGGGGCTAGCCAGTCGACCCAGGCTACCCCCGACGTCAATATTGCGTCGACGTCGTCGCCCATGGAGGAGGTTGTAGAGACGATCCAGTAATGGATCAAGTCTCCAACCTCCTGGTCCAGACGAACCTGAACCACTGTGCCGCGGCGCAGGATCTCTTCCTGCAAACCATGGCACAGTGGTCGATAGGTGTTGCCGTAGTCGCGGAGCCCTATTCTGTCCCTCCCCGTCCAAACTGGATGGGTGACTGGGACGACTCCGTGGCAGTCGTCGGTTCCACGACGGCTCATTTCCCGCCCTTGTCGCTAAGAGACAAGGGCACTGGATATGTTGCCGTCGAGTGGGGGGGGATCACCATATATGGCGTTTATTTCTCCAACAACCGGAGTTTGAACGACTTCGAGGTTTTCCTAACCAGCTTGGAGACCTCGATACGGCGACTAGCGTCTGGGCACGTCCTTGTGCTGGGGGACTTCAACGCAAAGTCCATTGCGTGGAGTTCCCCCAGGACGGACGCAAGGGGCGAGGCCGTAGAGGAGTGGGCGGCCTCGGTGTGCCTCTGTCTTCTCAACAGAGGCTCCACCAACACGTGCGTGCGACAGCAGGGGGGGTCGATAGTGGACCTCTCGTTCGCTACCCCTGCCCTCGAAGCACGAGTAAGGAACTGGCGTGTCCTGGAAGAGGTTGAGACGCTCTCGGATCACCTGTATATCCGATTTGAGCTCTCCCGGACCCAGGACTCCAGTAGGGGTCACGTGGCGCGGCGTTTATCCCGCTTTCCGCGGTGGGCTGTTGCTAGACTGAAGCGGGACATACTAGAGGAGGCAGCCATAATTCACTCGTGGCTGTCTCCTCAGGCTCCGACCGAGGAGGTCGACGTGGGGGCTGGTCGCTTTCGCGATGCGATTACGCATGTATGCGATGCGGCCATGCCCCGCATTCGAGGTCGTCGGCCTCCAAGGAAGGAGGTCTACTGGTGGTCCCAGGAGCTGGCGGACCTCCGTGCGGCCTGTACACGTGCCCGGAGGTCCTACACGCGCAGTCGGCGACGTCACCGTGGAGACGGTGAGGAGGACCGGCTTCATGAGGAGTACCGACGGGCGCGGAAAACTCTGAAGCTGGCCATTAGCCGCGCCAAAGAAGAAAAGAGACAGGAGATGCTGGAGGGTCTTAATCGTGACCCCTGGGGTCGCCCTTACCGCGCGGTGCGACAAAAGCTCCGCGCGTCGGGCCCCCCCCTTACGGAGACTCTCCAGCCCAGCTTCCTGCGAGAAGTGGTTGAGGGCCTTTTCCCACAACGAGCGGAACACACTCCCCCGTCGATGGCCTCCCTGGCCGGAGACGACGGGGAGCACGGGGAGGATAATGTTCCGCCCGTCCGGGATTCGGAGGTAGGGGCGGCTGTTCTACCGTGACCGAAGAGGCCGTGAGCTGTGGCGGCGTGCTGTTGGCGGTGTCATTAGACATCGCCAACGCATTCAATAGTCTGCCATTCAGCTGCATCAGGGAAGCACTCCACTATCATGGGGTGCCAAAGTACCTGAGGCGGCTAGTGGCAGACTATTTAGAGGAGCGTACCGTCGTGTACGAACACCGAGAAGGTAATTTGAGGTGTCGGCCCATGTCGTGCGGTGTTCCACAGGGGTCTGTTCTTGGACCCCTCTTGTGGAACATAGGGTACGACTGGGCCCTTCGCGCCGATTTCCTGCCACAGGCGCGCCTGGCCACAGGGGGAGTCTCCCTGGTGGTCGGGCGCATTGAGGCGCTGGGCTTACGGGTGGCCCTAGATAAGACGGAGGCCCTGTTATTTCATGGGCCCCGTTGTGGTCCACCCCCTGGCGCCTCAATCGTGGTCAACTCGGTCCTCGTACCGGTTCGGGCCCAGATGAAATATCTGGGCCTGATCCTCGACGGGAGGTGGCTCTT